TTAGGTCAAGACGAAGGGCAGGTTTAAATGTCCTGTGACTCTTGGCATTCTGAGCACGTTCTCATTTGCAGCAGATCGCTGATTAACCCTGAAAATGCTGACACTTCCCAATGTGCAGGATGCAGGATTACATAAGGTTGGGTGCAGGATTACCAATTCTGCAATGGTAAGCCTTACAGCTCTATAATATGTGTTGTCTGTTCCCCACAGAGTTAACAAGAAAAGAGTCTAAACATAGCCATAGGAAGATATATATTTAACATACCGTAGTATAAGCAGAGCAAGCAAAATTAAAGAGACTGGGAGAGAACAAGAGAGCGCTATATAAAGCAAACAGTTATCCTTCAGAGTTAAGCCTGTCCATGAGTCCTAACCCTACAAGTCTCATTTTGAAACATTCACATAACTACAAATACCATTGTACTCTTCTCCCCTTTATCCTTTTTCTGTACTTTTCACAAATGTTTGTAACAGCATAGAAAGAGAAAATGATGGAAAGAACTTTAACTGTTTAATATCTACATAATAGACTACATAAAAGGCACAGAAGCAAAACCAAGGGAGTGAAAAGGCATGGTAATACCAGCTAAGTGTTACCCTATTCCTCACCAGCGGCACACAGGTACACTTTGAAATACAAGCATTCTTCATGACAATTCCCCTTAGACATATCCTCAAGGGAAATCCAAAAAAAGCAAGTACCGTATTTTCTGGCGTATAAGACGACCTGGCGTATAAGACGACCCCCCATTTTCCCAGCCAAAATATAGTTTTAGCACCTCTATCCTCCTTATCCTTATACCCGGTGTATGACGACCCCCCCCCACTTTAACCACAGATTTTGCAGGTTAAAAAGTAGTCTTATACGCAGGAAAATAAGGTAGCTATGTTGGTTCCCATTAACCGTCCAGTTTCAGCAGTTTTTATCTCCACAGGAGCAGGTTTTGTATACAGGTAATGAGTCTGAACTTCCATTCAAAACCAAGCCATCCTAAAATGCTTTCCATTACAAGAGGGAATATTAGATTGATGCTGGAAAAATTCAGAGAAGGAGGAAGGGAGGAAGACTGTGAAGATCCTCACCAAACATTGTGAGGATTACAGCTGAGTCCAGAAGAAACAGAGAGCCTGAGTGGGGTGGCAGAGAACATTATAATCTCTGCTAATAAAAAATAGCCAGTTCCTCAACCCTCCAAGCCCCTTTTCCACTATAACACTTTTAATGTTGTTGTTCTGTGCCTTTAATGAACTGTGACTTATGGAGACCCTATCATAGTGTTTTCTTGCCAAAGATTTATTCAGAAAGGCTTGCCATTGCCTTCCTGTAAGGCTGAGAGAGCATGACTGCCCAATGGTGAGTGGTGATTTGAACCTTGGTCTCCCAGAGTCATAGTCCAACACTTAAACCACTGCACCAACACTGGCTCCCAGTATATACCATTCAATGTTTCAAAGATGAAAAACCAGGACACGTGTGGCCAAGCATCATCAGAGTGTGGTAAAGATTGCAAAGGTTATACAAGAGGAAGAACAGGCAAACTAGGAAAGACTTCAGCAGTTTGCTTTTGCCTGTGCCTACTGGGAATGCAAAAGTCTGCCTCCCCCTCCTGCACTAATTGAATGCAAACTATTTTGTAATTTGAACTCAGTTTGTACCAATGGAAGTAAGCTGAGGACAAAGGGAGAGAAATGGTAGGTAGAGAGAGAAACTGAAATTTTTAAAGCAGCTCAAAAAGTGGGACAGCAGAGGATTAATTAAATTGCTCCCTGCCAAATCGGGATGACAGCTGGATGCCATGCCAGTATAACACTACTCCTCACAAAGATTTCCACCATTTGTCTCTTTTTCAGAAGTCAGCCCATAGCTGTTCCTCTCCCCACAGCCACTGCCCCCCTCCTGCTAAGAATCCCTGAATAACCCACTTAATAACTGTGAGTTGAGTTGGGCTTATGCTAAAACAATCATGCAGCCAGTCCAGCACATGCGGAACTCTTCACAGATCTGTGTGACCGGCATTCCCCTCCATGCCAGTTGGATCAAGTTTACTGGCCCTCGCTGCACACATTGCTTCCACTGTGTAAAGCTGATGCAGCGTTTGTTTCCTCAAGTTTTCAGTTCCCTACACGCTATATCCTGGCCTGGAGCCTATGTCAGTACATTTCAACTCATTCAGATAACACTGGGGCCAGGATAGCACAGGCTGCTCCAGGCACAAGACACTGCTTAAGCTCCCCAAATGTTGTAAAACAGGTCAGATTAGGATAAAGCAAACACATACTGATGATGTTAACCAGCCATTGCTTGGCCACCTGCCCGGTGACACCTAGTTTATTTCTGCATTAAAAGGTGCTCTGCCAACTTTGGAACTGGTTCTGTTTTTGCCGTAATTGAAGTAGTATAAAGCAACATTCTTCTTGTTGATGCAGACGTGATCTGTATTGTTTTCAATAATTGAAACACATGGTTCATATCAAGAGTGTAGCTTGTGGTTGATGTGGGTGGGGTGGAGGATGGTGAGGATGAGATCGCAAAGCTTATTCAGCTTATACAGATCTTAGTCTTCTCTTCAGAGTTCCAGCTCTCAGAGAGTCTTAGCAATTTCATCGCACTCAGCAGAAAGTATCCAGACTGTGCCAAATGGGACACACTTTAGATTAAAGTGTCCAAATGGGATACTCTTCAGATTAAACTATCCAAAACAATGGTTCCTTGATGAGTTTTATGTTATTCAGATAGATCTGTCCTTTTAAGGATTAAATGTGCTCAGTTATGGTAGTGGGGACAGGATCTAAAAATAGCCATCTATATGGAATGAAAATAAACTTTACATCTTCCAATAAAATGTGTTCTGCATTTAAGTTGCCCTCCGTGTATTGATTACCAAAGCCAGAACATTTTGAATACTACATGGGTGAAATGTGAGAGCTGCAGGTAAAACTGGAAACACCATTCCCCCCCCCCCCCAGAGTGCTCATGGAAGCAGGTCAGAGGCACTGTCCTGTATAATCATCTCAATACCACCCCATGGAACAGAGTTTGATGGCTTTCTCGTAGTGGTTCAAAGGGCTTTCCTGTCATGGATCCATTTGAATGGAAATAAGAGCAAGGAAAAAGAAAGCATGTGTGTGTGACAAGGGCATGCAACATGCCTCTTTCATACCAGTTTCAACAACATGTTTACAAGATAGTTTTGTTTTTTTAATAGCAAATCTGGTAGGGGTATGCATAGCCAGCGCAATACAGCTAGATATCTAGTGCCGACCTGCTATGATGACAATGACTCACTTTTGGGCTACTCATTCTGGGATTTTTTCCCCCCTAGAGGCAAGTTGTATTCTTACCAGCCAGTATCACAGAACCAGAGAGTTGGAAGGGACTTCATTCGCCAAACAGTTCACATTGCCAGAATGTCTTTCTAATGTTTATCTGAAATAACCTTTCTTACAAGCTGAACTTTTGATTCTGGTCCTACAGAAAATACATTTGTTCTGTCATCTATGTGAAAGTGTCAGAATCTGGCACATTCGGTCATAAGATTGTTGTTATTGTTGTTGTAATACATAGCATATTTAATGTTTTAGATATATAGAAGAGTCGTATGAATGTTAAAGTATATTAGGATATGACAAGAGTGATGGGAGGTATAGTACTAGTGGAAATAACTGGTGGTGGTTCAAAGGGATGCTTGTGACCTGACGCAGGAATGTGCAGATATGGGGAGGAGGAATTTTCTCAGAGTCTGCTGATGAGAAACAGAATGCAAAGATGGGACCAGGATGGTGCTGGGGATGGCGCAAATGGGGCTGGCATGGAAGAAAGGGTTGGTATGTTTTAATTTGTAAATGAATTAAGATGAAGTTTGCGAACGCTTGGGGAAGGACATTGCTAATGTTATGCCAATGTTGGTGGATGATGGCACTTCTGTCTGCAGATGCCTTCCTGCTAACACCTATGGGTTTTCTGAAATAAAGTTTTACTGTTTTCAATACAGAAGACTTGTTTACTGAACTCTGGGGAGAAGTCAGTTCTTGACAGAAAGTCTGTATATTTTGTAATTGTCAATAGCTGTTGCTGTGTGCCTTCAAGTCATTTCTGACTTAAGGCTATTGTTATTGTTGTTGTATGCCTTCAAGTCATTTCTGACTTAAAGCTACCTAGGGCAAATTTATCATGGAGTTTTCCTGGCAAGATTTATTCAGAGGAGGTTTATCTTTGCCTTCCTGTGAGACTTGCAAACTCAGGTCTTTACCAAGCATTAAGAAGATGCCAGCCACAGATGCAGGCAAAACGTCAGGAATACATTCTTCTAGAACATGCCTCACAGCCCGAAAAAACCACAAAAACCTATTATTGTCTTTTCTAAAGAGTCACGTATTCATGATAGAAATAAACACATAAAATTCATGTGTTAGAGAACACTGTGTACAAAACACATTTGGAGAAATTTACAAAAAGAAATTGCAGAATTTAACAACATGTGACTGCATACATATGCACATGATGCAGACTGAATATACACTGACATATTTCTCCCTAACCAGGAACTGTAGGACTGTGGAACACAAAACCATTAGATCTGCCCTGGTGGTGCAGTGGTTAAATGCCTGTACTGCAGCCACTCTTCAATACCAGCCAGGGGCTCTGGGTCAACTCAGCTTTGCATCCTTCCATAGGTCACTAAAATGAGTACCCAGCTTGGGGGGGGGGGTAATTAGCTTACACTTTGTAAACTGTGTAAGCTAATTTGTAAGCTTTGTACATCGGTAAGCAGTATAGAAATGTACTTGCTACTGCTACTTGCTATTGCCACATGGCCCTCTTCTTCTGTCCCCTTTTTCATTGTTGTTTTTGTGTGCCTTCAAGTACTTTCCAACTTACATTGACCCCAAGGATCCTATTACAGGGTTTTCTTGGCACGATTTATCCAGAGGTGGTATGCCATTGTTTTCTTCTGCAGCTGAGAGTGTGTGACTCATCCAAGTCACATAGTTGGTTTCCATAGCTTAGCAGGGATTTGAACCCTAGTCGCCAGAGTTGTAATCCAATGCTCAAACCACTACACTATGCTGGCTTGTACCATTTAATTGTTTTCTCTAGTCTAAACAAATCCCACAAATCTTCTGTACACTTGGACCCAATCAGTGTATTTACCATCTTTATTTTTTCTTCTAGATACATTCCAGTTTTTCAGACTTCATTAGCTATTTTTGTTTGGTATTCCCTCCACCCTATCTCTTTAATTTAATTATGCCTCCTAAGTACTGCAGTTCAGGGACACCTGCCCTCCTATACTTAGTAAAGCATTGTGCATGGAGAGCAGAATAGCATACAGAACAGAACAATGGCAGTGCTATTATTTTATTTTATTTTATTTTATTTCTATGCCACCTTTCTCCCAAAGAGGGGCCCAAGGTAGCTCACAATATAATACTAGTAGTAACTACAGTAGTACCAATAATGCAGTCCAGGGGAATTAAATAATATTCATAAATTTGTACCTGTAGTTTATTTCATCTCTTTTAATCCACCTTCTTCTTATTAAAAATGCCTAATGTAATGTATGGTAATAAAATCTCTCTGGATTACATACCGTTAAAAGCAGCAACATATACCATTAAAATAATGAATGTAAATTGAACAATCAATAATAATTAATAATTAAGATATTAATGGGACTAGACCCTGATACTTAAGTACACAAGATGGAAAAGCAAAATTCCATTCCGTACAATAAATTACCATTGTAATCTTTACCATCATCAATGTGCTGTCTCCTAAACAGCATCCAAATGCTTAACTCTGCTTTCCAAATGCTAGAGTCAGTCCCAGATATTAAGATGTGATCAACATAATTACACTCATAAGAGATATAAAAGAACTGTCCTTCTTTTGTATGTTCAACAATCCTTCCTGTTCTGTGCTAACATTACTATGATTTATAATTTTATGTGTGTATGTGTACGCACACATCTTCAAGTCACCGGTCAATCTATGGTGACCCCATGAATATCATACGATTTTCTTAATCAAGGGATACTCAGGTAGTTTTGCCAGTTCCTTAATCTGAAATATAGCCTACAACAGCTGCTATTCGTTATATAGCTTAGTTTTAAATCAAGTGATATACAGGATATATATAATCAATGTTGCCCATAACCAGAAGACTTATGAAAGATATTACAAGTCTCACCAGGTTTCCATGTCCTCAAGTCCTGTCATCTGTCCAGGACTTTCTACTGCTTGCAAAGCATGTCAAGAAGTCTTTACATAGATGTAGGTCAGCTATCAAGAGGAATGCCAGTGTGTGAACACTAAATTACAACCTGCTGGACCAATGGAAAATTGAAAAGATGTTCTTTTGATATATAAGTAGGACATAGTCTTTAACAGACATAAGGGAAAGGCGTTTATTGCTGTTAACTGCCATCAAGTCGACTTCGACCTATGGTGACCCTATGAATGAGAGACCTCCAAGTTACCCTATCTTCTGGAACACCGCTCAGGGCTTGCAGACTCAGGACTGTGGCTTCCTTAATTGAGTTTATCCATCTGGAATTAGGTCTTCTTCTTTTCCTACTGCCTTCTGCCTTAACAATCATTATTGTCCTTTCTAGTTAATCATCTCTTCTCATGGTATGGCCAAAGTACAACAGTCACCTTGTTCTTTGTTTAGTCACCTTGGCTTCTAAGGAGATTTCAAGTTTGATTTGCTCCATGACCCAGTGATCTGTCTTTTTAGTAGTCCATGGTATCCATAGAATTCTTCTCCAGAACAGTATGTCAAAGGAGTTGATTCCCCCTCCATTAGTTTTCTGGATTGTCCAGCTTTCACAACTGTAGATAAAAATGGGAAATATGATTGTATCTTTACAGTTCAGGATTTTGTCTAGTTCCTTCAAAGCTGCCCTTTCAAGTCCTAGTCTTCTTCTGATTTCTTGACTGTAGTTTCCATTCTGATTAATGACCGAGCTAAGGTCTTGAACCATTCCAATATTAAAGTTATGTTAATAATCTGTGGTGATATTTTTTTGTTTTCTTAAGGTTCAACGGTAAACCTGCCTTTGCATTTTCCTTCTTGACTTTCTTCAGCCATCCTTCCGAGTCTTTGTTATTTTCTACTAGTAATATGGTGTCATCTGCATATCTTAAATTATGAATGATTCTGGGGCAAGGCAGATGGGCAGGAAGAAGCATTGAGAAGCTGCTCTCAGCCCGATCACCCCAGGGCCATGGCAAAAAATACAAATGCCGTGGCTCCAAGGACACCTTCTGCTGTGGCCCCCAAATAGGAACAGAAAAGACTCACTCCTTTTGGGCTGGATTTGGGCCACCTTAGGCAGTCCCGGAGTGGCTTCTAGGTGCTCCAAGAGCACACATCATGTCAACGCCATGCCCCTGGAGCAGCCAGAAGCCACCTGTCTGTCCATCTGTTTCGGGTCTCTGTCATCCTTTCATCTCTTTTATATACCATATATCCTCAACTATAAGTCGACCTTGTGTACAAGTCAAGGCCAGGTTTTGAGGCCAAAATTATGGAATTTGATATGACCCATGTATAAGTCGAGGGTAAAACTTAGGGGCATGCAAGAAAGGATGTAAAGAGTGAAGGAAAGGAAAATGATGCCAAAGAATGCTACTATTTTCCTGTCCCTGCATTCAAAAAGGCCAGAAGCAGCACCAAAGTATAGAGAGTAGAGGGGGTTGGTGCCTCCTTTAGGTTCTCCAAGGATGGACTAAGTTCTCACCTTTTGCCACTATACTCAAGAGAGGAAGATGGTTCCTGTTTTGAGTTAAGGTACAGCACTTCCATTGACCTGTGGATACCTCAACCCAGGCTTTTTGAGTCAATTATTGACTCATGAGTGTATATACAGTAATTCTTTGTGTATTTTTCCCATTGTCTTTTATTTTTGTTTGGTCATGTAATGTGTTCCTTTACTGACCTTAGAGCATTCCCATCCTTGATTTAAATTTTCTTTTGATTTCTCAGATCTTGTGGAAGAAGTCTCTTGTCCTTCCTTTTTTGTTGTCATCTTCTATTTCTCTGCATGGATTATTATAGTAGTTCTCCTTGTCCCTGCACACAAGTTGTTGAATAGTTGCATTCAGGGTTTTAACTCTACTTTTGTCACCTTTTGCTTTTCCTCTGTCCTTAACTGCTTGAAGAGTTTCCTTTGTCATCCACTGAGGCTTCCTTTTCTTTTTCTTTTTTCTGCAGATAGTGTCTTTTTGCATTCCTCCCTGCCAATATCCCTGGCTTCGATCCAGAGTTCTCCTGGCTCCCAGTCAATTAGGTTTAATCTATTTTTTTATATTATCTTTTCATCCTATGAGAATGTTCTTCAGGTTGTATTTTGGCCCAGTGGATGGTTTCATGTTCTTCTTTAACTTACTTTAATTTTTTTATATTAGTAGTTCAGGGATTGTGCCACAATTTGCTCCTGTTCTTGTTTTTGCAGAGAGAATGGAAGTTCTCCATATTCCATTTCCAATTATGTAGTCTATCTTATTTTCTATAGTGACCATCAGGTGGTGTCCATGTATACAGTCGCTTCTTGGGTTGCTTTAAGAATGTGTTTGCAATGAACAAACTGTTAGCCTCCTAAAATTCAGTTGTTTTCCTCCTTCATTTCTTGATTCTAGTCCAAATTTTTCTACAATCTTCCATCCTGCTCTATTTCCTACTTTTGCATCCCAAATACCTATGATTAACAAGTCCTGTTTGGTGTGTGATAAATTTCTTCCTGGACCGCAGCATAGAATCTTTCAATTCCTTATTCTTTTGTGTTTGTAGTTGGAGCATAAACTTGAATTATGGTTATATTGATGAATTTCCCCCAAGTTCTATTGATATCATTTGGACAGACTTTTTATTATATCCTTTGACTGCTTTTGCTACATCTCTCCTCACTATAAATGCCAATCAATTTCTTCTTAGATTTAATTTCCTGAGTAAAACACTATCCACTTTTGTTGACTCACCTCAAGTATTGCAAGGTATATATGTTCCCTTTCTTGTTTTAATATCTAGATTCTAATTCATGCTTCTTACATTCCATGTTCCTATAATATGTATTGTGCAGCTTCAACCTTTCATTTCACCTCTGAGCTTGTCAACAGCTGAATGTCCTTTCAGCTTGCATCATTAGCTGCAGCACTACTTATAACTGTCATCTGCTGTACTTGTTGAGTGCCATCCGACTTAGGAGTTTCATCTTCTGGCACTACCTCTTGTTTCATTTTAGACTGTCTCATTAGAGGTTTTGTGGTAACAGACATTTAAAAGGGGTTTACCATGTCTCCTTCTCTTAAGTACTAACAAGTGTTAGCTATGATGTCACTGCCATTGTTTCCATCAGTTCTTCTACCAGTGTCACCCTTCACCACTGCTGCTTCCCAGGAGTGGTTTGGCACATTTAGTCTGGCCTTTCATCAAAACCCTGTCTGACATGGGAGACTGTACCAGCAGGAGTACTGCCATCAGCTCCCATCCCACAGGGTAAGATAAAAGCATATTATTCTCTGCTGGAATTGATCACCTGTGTAGTGGATGGATCTATGTATGTGTGTCGCCTGTTGACAGGGCAACTCCATTGATTTTATATGGTTTTCTAAGGCAAGGAATACTCAGAGGGCGTTTTGCCAGTTCCTGTGGAAGCACCTGATATTTGTTGGTGGTCTCCCATCCAAGTACTAATCAGAGCTGATCCTGTTTAGCTTCCAAGATCAGAGAGTATCTGTTGCCTTTAGGGCAGGGGTAGGCAACCTTTCCCCTTTAAGGGCCGAGGGACTTCAGCTCCCAGAATCCCAGGAGCTATTGGCCAACGTGGGACTATTGGCCAACATGGCTGAGGCTTCTGGGAGCTGAAGTCCCTCAGCCCTTAAAGGGGAAAGGTTGCCTACCCCTGTTTAGGGTATTTAGACCATATATCCAGAAATAAATGCATGCCAGTACCTTGATATTGCTTTGCTCTCTCTCATATCAACAATCATCCTACCTTAGGAAGAGCCCTATGGTTGAAATTAGTCTAATTTGCAAAGTAAAACTGTATAAGATAGAACAGCAGG